GTGAGATGACTTGAGGGACTAGTTAAAATGGCTGTGATGCTGCTAAAGAGAGGGAGACAGGTGGCTTAACATTTTTGTTACCTGTTTTGTTGTGTGAAAGTGAAACCTATATATATGAAATGCTGATGTAAAGTATTTTGCTTTACCTTCATTTTGTTTAATAAAAGTGGACTAGCAAGCCCTGAATCACAGTTTGGACTGGTGTGGACTTACTAAAAACTGCTTCTACCTGAGACCTCAATTCCACACTATCTACAGTATATGAAGATTCTCAGTTCACCTTCTACATTTAATTCAATCCTCTGGGTGATACAGTGACCGCCCATTATTATCCTTGTAATCAGAGGCCATTTGGCTCACTAGAGTCATGCTTACCCCTAATGCAGATGTCAGATACTATAGCTGGCTTCTGTGTTCTTCACCTATAACAGCCCCCTTTCCCTTAAGGCAAGCAGGCCTACCAATACTCAGTTGCTCCCAGGACTTATACAAAATGATAAAATGCCCAGCTACCACACCAGGGCAGGCGTGAACTGAACATAGTAAACAAGTACTTGCAGTTGGCAGACAGGTAAACTAGTTCAATGACAGTCCAGGTACAAGGCAGGCAAGGTTCAGAATAGTCAGGGTCAAAATTCATAGTCAAAAGGCAGGCAGAGTTCAGAGAGTAGTCGATATCCAATCCGAGGTTGTCAACGAAGGAATCCAAACTAGCAGTGCGGGGCAGACAAACAGGGAGATTGGAGCACATGTTACAAACGCACAAGCTGTCAATGCTACCTTTCTTCAAGCATCTGAGGCCTCCATCTTGGTTTTCTGCAAACATGGTGAATCAGGTTTGGCTCCTCCTCTCCACCTGCCCAGCTCTGACTGTTGCCACATCAATTACCTTGCAGGTGGTTAACCCTTTAGGGAGAATGTATAACAGCCAAAACCTTGGGATGCTAGAACGAGACCAGCAGCTGTGATGGATCACTCAGGTGGAAAGGGGGGCCGGGAGCGCTATACGCTCCTGACAACAGGGGCCCTGGTGAAGGTAGGTATAGTATGTCATGTTGTTATCAGTATATACTTACTTACTTAGAGGCTGACAATTATACCATAATGGAAGATTGTACCGATTTGCATTTTGTCTGCTTGGCTCTGATTACTCTCCCCTACTGAATGATTCACTCACCCCTCTGTGAAATGAGAAGGCAGGTATACCTGTAATTTTATGTTAATTTTTTTAGTTGTATGGGTAATATGGCAAAATTACAACTCTGAACAACAAAATCCACAAAGCATATTTATTAAGAAACACCCACCAATATCTGGGATAAAAAGTTTGGCTCTTTTAGCAGTTTACTTTAAAGCACACCATCTGTTTAACAAAGGTTGAACACATCCACACGGTATAAGACTATACACCATACCAAAAATACAGTTTTACAAATATATTACTTTCCTCATTTATGTCTGTCATGTATACTTTTAGGAATTCTTAATATATGTTTCTGTATTATTGTAATATATAGTACTTCATGTGTCTTTGGATCTACTAATTGTAAGTATACAAATATTAAATATTTTTAATATATAGGTTGAAGGTAACCTATATAAGATTATGTGATGACAGCCTAAGTACAGGCCTCAAGGTTTGGCAACAGCACTAAAAGTTACAATAAAATACAACATAGCCACATAAGAGGATGTTAAAATTAAGTGAGATCTAAATATGTGTCCCCCTATTTTCTGCAGCAATGTTTTACATAGAATATTTTACCTATTCAGCTAAATTCTGCATATCTTAAATCATTTCATACATACTATACTCAGGTGCAAGGAAACCAAAGCAATCTTCTACTGGAGGCAATTTTCCATTTTTTTTATACCTGAATGAAAGTAGATCATATATTCTTTAAATCCAGAGTCTGGGCATTTTTTAAATGGTGCCCTAATCATAGTAAACATTTTTAAAAAATCCCCACAGAAATTGTTTTCTGCCACTAGATGTTCTCAATTTTCAGGGTTAAAAGATGCTGGGTATCATTCAAACCAATAGGCTGAGGACATATTGTAAGTGCAGGGCATCGTAAACCCACCCTCTGAAAGGCATGTTAACATGGTGCCCTGTACTCAATCTAATGATGCAGACCAGCATGTCAGCACCATTCTGTGCATCATAAGGACCTCCCAACACAGAAGAGGCAAAGATAAAAAAAAAGACCCTGTGCATTACATGATTGTCCTGAAGACACCTACAAAAGGTAAGTATACAAAAAAAAGCACCAAATACACAGTTGGGTAACCTCTGGGGAAGGTGTGATTCTATGGGTGGAAGGGGGGGGGGGGTGCCTGGAATTGAGCTATATAGAGTTTGGCTCATTTACCAAACTATTCATAAAACAAAAGGAAAGCTCTAGAAATAAATATAATGCCAAAGGACAGCAGGAGATAAGTGTTATGTGTTAATTACATTTACCTCTATTTTATTCTTTCCAAGATACTACTCTAAAAACTGTGTCCAGAGTGCAGTGATAGGATTAGTTCAATGCTTCTAGTCCATGTGCTTTAGCTCCTATCCATGCTATTTAATGAAAGGAATTTGTCACTACAAAAGAAGTAAATACATTTGCTGCTCATAATTCCAATAATAAAACAGGCACTGGAAGAACTGAACTAACGGTAAGGCTGGGATTCGGACACAGTTTCGGCGTGCCAAATCTTCTAAGTACAGCATGGAGAAATGTAATTAACACATTAACCTTACCACTCCCTTTCTCTTCCAGTTATATTTACTGGAGTCTATTACTCAATAGCTGGGACTGCATTTATTCCCAGTGGCCACCAAATTGTCATCATTGTTGGCTACTGCCTCCTTGCCAGAAGATGAAAACTGTTGAAGAATGCGGCAGCAGCATGGAACAAAGCAAGGAAGAAAGCACACATAATAATAAATATTCAGTGACCATTGATCATAGAGTCTCCTTCAGGACCGTGTTTATACAGACACAGAAAACTGTACCTCAACATCTTCTGAGCAAGGTTAAAAGATGAGAAGACAGATCCCTATGCCATCTAAATGCACAGCAATAGTTTTAACTTTAGTAGCATGCCGTACTTATTACAGCCTCATACCAAAAATATATAGGGCCTGATTTAAATTGTGAACAGGGGTGACATGCGCACAAACATCCAAACATGCACACAAACATTCAAAAGTGTATCATAAATAGACAGTATTTTTCAGTGTGTTTGACATCATGTCTCAATGTACAGAGTTATCCTAAAGGCATTGTAGACATTCAAGTCTTCTTGTTTAACTAGGTATTAGTGTAGTTATGTTCCCTCTATTGTTTGTTTGTATCACCTTTTTATTTATGGGCTCAACTGCTGTGGCTGCAGTTTGTAGTATCATGGCTGATTAATTCCCCTATGTCCATGTTTTGTTGCAGCTAGCTGGCCCTGTGTTCCAGGTCACACAGCATCTAGATGCATGACTTGTCATCCCCCCTTTGATGCATCACCAATATGGAAGTGCTAATGTGATGAAACACTGCAAATGTGAGCTCTCTGTATACAGTATCTGTGAATGCTCTTCCTGCTTGTGCCTGTGTCACATCTAATTACTGCATAGCTCTCACCTGCACTAGACTAATGGAACCCGAGGGGAACATTTCATTCATCCACAGGATTTGTCAGGCTTCTACATTACAGACAGAGGTCATGCATTAACCTGTGCAGTGCCACATGTTTAGACCAAAACTAAAACTGCTGGGACAGGATTGTGAAGATTTACTTTCCTATAGTCTGTACATACATGGCAGCAAATTACACCATGAAACCACATGACCAACACACATCTTATGCAGGTGAAAAACACAAGTGGCACCTAGGAATGTTTAACACGCCTAGAAGCAAATTGTTCTTTTATGAATCTGTTGGCTGTTGTAAGTTTCTTACCTGGAGGTTTTTGCCTTTTGCAGGCTGACAATGCTAAGGCACTGCCCCGCAGTAAGAAGCAACCCTGTTAGCCTCCTATATGAATTTGTTAAGTTGGCTGACAGCTGCCTATTTGCTAGAGCTAAAAGGCAGTCCTTTACCCAGTTGAATGAACATGCATGGCAGGCTGACAAGGACCCTGCTAATTGTAAGGCAAGTGGCTTAGCTTTGTCAGCATGCAACGGGAAGTGCTGCTACTGGCAGGAATCCCCTGTAGCAAAAACTTTACAACAGATTCCCATAAAAAATTTTACTGTATGCAGTGAGACATGATGATTTATATAAACGTATAAAATAGAGCTTTCCATTCCAATGACTGTTGTTTTAAGCGATCACCTCACTTTACAGTTTGGTTCATCAGGCCTATAGGGTTATTAGGTAACATTTATTTGTATACTGTATATATTATACTTTTGTATGTGGTATGAGTCACATTTTGCATAACCAAAACATTGTGTTACAATGTAAATGATTCCTTGCCACAAAATAGTCTAAAAATATGAAATATTGCACACTTACACTTCAAAAAGTGGGAGTGAATATTCCCTTTAACATTAATATAAAAGGTTGGCAGTGAGAAATATTGGTCAACACAACTAGTAGTTGAAAGGAAATGATTTCAGAATCAGTACACCTAACATGAACAGAGTTTCCATGGATACATTATTGTTGATTAGAATAACAAAATCAAACAGGTAATAAGGAAGCCACATAATGGAGATTTTCTTTTCTGATGTACTCCAGAATAACCAAAGCAGCACTCAGATGTGAGGCTGGAAGACGAATCCTCCTCTCTGTTAAAGAGCTTATTTGTGGCTTTTATTATGAATAGATTTTCAGGTCGAGTTTATGCAGTTAATGTTTTTTTTTCCTGGCATATATGAACCATATAATCTTTGTTGATGATATTTTTTTCCTCTTAGCAACTAGGGTTAGCAACTAGAGATTTTCTATATTCCAGAATAGACTTGCTGACAAAACAATTGGAGTACTGCTTGTTTAAAAGAAAACACTTCCTAAAAATGTTGGCTTCCACCCAGTGGCATAGAAATATATGTTAGAAATAAATACAACCTGAAACTGGTTGTAAAAAGAGGGGTCAAAGTGATGGCAATGCTTGCAGAGAGGGTTTTAACCCCAGAGGTCCATGCCCTATAGCTGTAGATGCCTTCATCAGTGCGGTTCCCCCACTGCATCCTCTCTTCTGAACTGTCATCATATCTCCACCTTCTCCTCCCAGCCATTCCAGCTGCTGCTCCCGCCACTGCTCCTGCAGCTGCTGCTCCGGTAGCCACCCTAAATGATCCATAACGTGTTGAGCTCTTTGCATGAACACGAGATGTCCCACGAGATGATCCTCTGGCTCCTCCTCTTGCTCCTCCACGACCTCCTTTGGTTGTGACATGGTGAGTAAGAAGTGCTACTAATAGCAATACTGACCAACACAGAGCTGAACTAATTCGCATTTTTAGGGACCTGGGGAATAAAGCATAAAAACACTGAACATGAAGTTTGGAAACTGCAAACAATATCGTCTAAAAAGTTTGTCAAGCCAGATTTGAAACATTGATTTCAACAGATCAAATCATCCACAGAGAGTATATTAATATTTTTATGGTCTGCTTATCACCCACAGTCATTACAAGGAATTTGAGCACCCAGATCAATCAAGCACCCAGATCAATCAAGTTTCTTGAAGAATGCTGGAAACATGGTGTAAGGCTGTAATCCTTTTCAGTTAGCATCTAGCTATTGAATGGAGATGAGCTCCAACACAGCATAGCACCTGAAGGCCAGAGGTACAAGACTGAAGATCCTTGACAGCAGTTTCACTTTCTATTTATGCTGGAGTTTAATTTTCGTTTTGGTGATCGAACTGCAAAACCACTATTTTATGGTTGTTAATCAGTTCAACAGCTCATGCAACCTCCATCGCTCAAAGCAGCTGGAGTCCACTATCCACCTGCTGCCTTTAGAGATCATTGAACCCTGTGAGCAGTCGTCCCTCTTTGTACTGTTACATGTCGCTGTCTTAGCAACAAAGTGCATAGCATCCAGATAGGAATGTGTATTATTCAGATACTTCAGTCAGCAAAGTTGCCTGAGAGGAACAGGATCCAGGAACTCCTGCTATGTCATTGATTGACCAAATGTATTTATTTTATTACAGGTACTTATGTAGCGCTGTCAATTTACGCAGCACTTCATATATATAAAATATATTGCACATTCACATCAGTCCCTGCCCTCAAGGAGCTTACATTCTAACTCACATTCATACATACTAGGCAGTCTAGACAGGAGCCAATTAACCTACCAGCATGTCTTTGGAGTGTGGGAGGAAACCGGAGTACCTGGAGGAAGCCCACAGGCACAGGGAGAATATGCAAACTTCGGGTAGGTGGTGCCGTGGTTGGGATTCGAACCAGCGACCCTGGTTCTGCTTGGCAGAAGTGCTAACCAATTAGCCATAGTGTCACGTCAACAGTTGGGCAAGATGTCACCAGGGAGACCCTGATCTTTTGGAACAAGGAGCTGTCAGTCACAGCAAGCAGTCATCAAGAGCAGATCTTGGTGGCGGTTGGTAGGTTTTTTTTCTCTGATATTTAACAGCATCATTCATCGTGATTGACTTGGATCTGCATCACTGGATGACATGATTGATGATGGATATGCATTATGGGACAAAGGACTTTTCAAAAAGTGTGTGTCTTTATTTACTATTTAAATTTTTTTATGAATGTGTATGGTGGAGAGTATCTGTTGGTTCACTTATTGCTAAGGGGTGCTTCCAGATTCTAGACCAGGGTTGTGGGTAAGAAGGTGACAAGGACAAGGTGCTTTTCCAGAGGAGTCCCCCTTCCCATGTTGAGGGCATATGGTCTGGTATGATTCAGAAGAGAAGGGATGCATGCTCCCACTCCTTCCATTTCCTGGCCTGCCAGGCTTCATGCTCAGATAAGGTTCTGGTATTTTTTTTTTGTGGGGGGTGGGGGCATATGCCAAGCCATTTTTTTTCTTTTTTCATGTTTTTGTAGGGTTCCCCATTGACATCCATACCAGACCCTAATCAAGGATATGTATCTGGTATGCCTTTTTTGTGTGTGGGTTCCTCTAATAACATCTACACCAGAGCCTCATCTAGGAAAAGGGTCTGGTATAAATGAGGGGAATCCTGAGCCATTTGTTTACAAACTGGGCAGCACAGTAGCTTAGTGGTTAGTCTTCTGGCCTCGCAGCACTAGGGTCATAGATTTAATTCCCAACCATGGCACTCTCTGTATGGAGATTGCATGTTCTCCTTATGCTTACATGGGTTTTCTTTGGGTACTGTAAGTTTCTCCCACATTCCTGGCTATTGTCTAAATTGACCCTAGTATGTATGCTTAGCAGGTAGGGACCTTAGATTGTAAGTTGCTTGAGGGTAATGTCTCATGTGAATGTACAGGATGTGTAAAGTTGTCTGAACTATATATAAATACCTGAAATAATATAAACAGAAGGAAGCAGCTAGAGACTGTAATTTACCAGCAACTTTACTGGCATTTTTTGTTTCATAATATCATTTGCTGTAGTAGGTTTATACAGTTGTGTTCAAAATAATAGCAGTGTGTTGAAAAAAGTGAATAAAGCTCAAAATCCTTCTAATAGCTTTTATTTCCATACATACAAATGCATTGGGAACACTACACATTCTATTCTATTCAGAGTCCTGATGAAGTCACGAGGTCACGTGACGCAATGCATCAGCGTGGTGACGTACTTCTGGGGTAAAACCATCTTGGAACACCTTTTTCCTATGCTGTACACCCAGCACATGGGGGAATGCCTTATTATCAGCTTACTATGAGATCTTTTAAAAGTGGATATTGATTCCTGGGAAGTCGTTTTAAAGCTATCAGTCCTTGAGGAGTGCTGTTTGCTGAGGGGATCAAGTGGTGATACATATATGCTCTGTGGCCCTGCAGGGTCGCAGGGTGATGGTGAGAGGCCATTTCAGCCATTTTTGGATCACATCCGGTGTCTATTCACGCACATTCCTCCTTTTATGCATGACCAGAAGGAATGCAACACTGATCACTGGACTGCTTTGTTAATATTATATTATTTTTTTTGCCATTATTATTGTTTAATTCACACTGAAGTTTTTATTTGATCCCATCATAGGGATTCACTCATTATTGGTTTAATATTAGTTTATGTCCCTCATTGGGTACCAGGGGGTCACAGATATATTATCCCATGTGGATTGGGGAGTCACCCTTTTTAGACTACTCACCATATACGGTCCATATTAAGACCTGATACGTGTGTGTTAATCACTGTGTGGTCACTTTGATTTTAATGAACGCTACATAATTTTTATTGCATTTATGTTTTGGGGCCTAATGGTATAGGATTAGATGTCAGCTGCTTTTTAGCTTTTTCACTTTCCTGATATATGACATAAGAGCGCAGGAGGACTCCCTGCTTTCTATTAGTGAGGTCATTCATTCTTTGAAAAACAGGTGACAATTATTGCCCTTATTTAAGGAAGGAAGGCAGCAAATGTTGTACATGCTGGTTACAGTGCATTTCTCTCTGAAATTCTAAGGAAAATGGGTCATTCCAGACATTGTTCAGAAGAACAGCGTACCTTGATTAAAAAGTTGATTGGAGAGGGGAAAACATATAAAGAAGTGCAGAAAATGATAGGCTGCTCAGCTAAAATGATCGCAAATGCTTTAAAATGGCAACCAAAACCTGAAAGATGTGGAAGAAAGCGAAAAACTACCATTCGAATGGATAGAAGAATAGCCAAAATGGCAAGGACTCAGCCAACAATCAGCTCCAGGAAGATCAAAGAAGGTCTAAAGTTACAAAAATAATAAAATTATTGTGTTGTGCTCCACCCAAAAAAAAAGAATCCATGTGTACCTTATAGTACTCTCACACAACGTGTAAATTGATGATATAAATCTAATTATCCATTGAATGCTATTTTTCCAGTGCGTATAGTGATATCAATATAAGTAAGATAAACCAATCAAAAATAACATCAAATAAAAACTATAAGAAAAGCTTCTATAATATAAATGAGCTATCCTCACACTATAGCTCAACCATAAATAGTGACTGTGTGAAGTGTGAAAAAAACTTATACTGTGATGTCCATTTTAAAACACATATATATATGTGTATATGACTAGTTCAGTGCATTGTAATAACAATCTCCTTCCACTTGGAGTCTCTTGATCTTCCTTCTCGGCTTAGAGTGAAGGATGGATGGTTGAGGATTTCTCCCCTTATCCTGCAGGGATCTCTCTCCTGTTTCTTCCTCTCCCTTTTATTCCTCCAGTTAATACATGAAAAACATAAATGTACACATAGTGCCTTATCCTTTGGTATTACAGGTTTTTATTGCCAAACCATACAAATGCTCACTCACATGGAGTAAACAATGTGATAGCGTAGTTTGTATCAGTGTGTGCCTCTGCACACTAACAGTACTCGCCGTTCTGCTGTATGGTGTGGCGACGTGATGTCAGAGCCCCTCCCCTGCGCGTTACGCCATCTAATAGTCACTGGTACTGTTAGCAACTATGCGAGACAACACTAAACACAATATATATATAAATAAATATACTGTCATAATTAAATAAAATAATATAGTTAATACACACATGTATAATATTGAATTCTAAATATACTGATTACAACACATTTTATTAATAAGATTAAAATTAAAAAATATAAAAAAAAAAAAATAAATAAAAATAAAAAAGTACATGATTAGAACAAAAATATCCCATCTAATATTCATAAATGAATTAATTAATAACTAAATAGTCCTTATTATATGCATTTATTATGTACTAACCTTAGTATAATATATTTGAAATATTTTTAAAATATTTTTAATTAAAAAATAACAAAAATATTATATATTTACAATGTTTTAAAATTAGTAAATTAATTTAAATTAAATAAATATTAAGAATGGGAGACATCCTAACACCTTTACTTTATATAAAGTCATAAGTAAAATTGCTACTGGGTCATTAAAACCTCAATTAAGATAGTATAAGATTTTTGAAGTGATTGAATGTCTCTTTAATAAATACTAATAAAACAAAATAAATCAAACTCCTTATTTAAACCATACAGTGCCAAACATCTCATCTCGTGTATCCACTTCGATTCTTTTTTGCTGATCTCTCTAACCAAATTGCCTCCTCTCCAATGCCTATTGTGTTTCTCTATTCCCCAAAACTGTAAGCATGAAGCATCCATATTGTGAAATTGGCGGAAATGCAATGAAACATGATGGTATTTATACCCTCTATTTATATTATACACATGTTCTCTCTTTCAACGCTTTTTTAGTTCTCCCTATGTATATAAGATTGCAAGGGCATCTTAAGGCATAAACCACTCCTTTAGTATCACACGAAATAAAATGTTTGATCTTGTATTCTTTATTATT